GTTGCTCATCCGCAGTGAAAACATCAATGCATTTTCATATCTTTGTCCAATATTATTTTTCCATATTGTTTGCTCAATTTTGGAAAAGCTAATAATCAAGTTTTTCCTAGACGAATAACATTTATTTGTCTGACAAGTTCCCAAGACTGGAACCCAATTTCCTTAGCTTTTCATTCATCCTTCACTGAGAGACCATGGTTATTGACAACAGCAACATAACAAATAAAAATAATAAAAAATAAAATAAAAAAGAGGTAAGAACCTAATATTTTCGATCCTTGATACCAAAAGGCCTCCAGCCCAATGATATGATCTATCTTCCAAAGGAGAGGTTGAGAGGTCGAGTCCCACTAGAGACATATAGTAGATAATGTGTGCTTGTTTTAACCAGTTTTTTGTTTTTTTTTTTTTTTTTTTTGACCAAAAAAAAAAAAAAAAAAACCCTGGGGTTGTCAATTGAATCACAGTCCAAAATAACAAATTCACAATTGTGTAAGAAAGTACAAACATTTACCAAGCAAGAACTAGTCCATCAAACTCTCTAACATCCATCTGTCATTATTCAGGTTTTCGACATGTAATGATAGCAAATTTGATTAAATCCTTCTTGTATCCTTCAATCATCAACGGCATTACCAACGCTCCTTTTATGGTTTTCCATCCTGATCAAGTTTATCCGTCAAGAAAGACAATACAACGAAAAACAAACAGATAATAGAGGATAAGAGAAATGCATTATGCAAATGCACGTCAAGCACGCTAGCTTACCACTTCTCGGCAATGATGTGAATCCCTTCCATGTCAATGCTGAACGTATCACCGCTGGCCAAAATGGAGCAACATTCTCAGACCAATCCGCTGCCTTAATATCCTGCATATAAAGTACAGCAACGATTCATTTAGTGCTTCACCACAAATATACAGTTCAGAACGCAAACCAAAGCAGTCAAGAAGTTATGCCGATTGCAGATTCAGAACACTTCGAGCACGAGAATAATTGATCCATATTTAGCTCTCAAGGCAAGAAGTTATTACCTGAAGAGCGAGGGACTGAAGTAAGTTCACATAATCAGCTGTAGAACACCAAGCTGGAAGATAGTAAGCATCACATATCTTGTTCAATAGCTTTTTTTCCTCTGGCCGCAAGGATTCTTCAGAAGGGGAGAGATCCCTATGGCACCAGGTTACTATTATTATCGTGGCTCCTGGGGCTGCTACTCGAGCCAACTCATGAATAAACTACCAATTCGAAAGCGAATAGTATAACACGAAACGACGAGATCGAATTAGCCATGAAGCATTAAAAAAGAAAATTCAAGCTAACATACTACTGTTCTTTTCAATTCAACGATTTAAACTCGGAGTTTCCTGGAGCCATGGACCCCAGCTAAATCTGCAGTGGTGTAAGAGAGAGATTAAGTACCTTTGTTTTGTCAGGCATGTGTTCTCCACTCTCCATGGACCAAACCAGATCAAATTGTCCATCAGGAAATGGTTGGTTTAAAGCATCTGCAACTTGAAAGGAAACCTGCTAATTGTTCACCATTACATAAACATTTTTTTTTTTGATAAGCACATCATTGTTACATAAACATAATCGATATCTTGTATTTCTTGTCTAGAGTTCAAGACAGAAATGAAAAAAATAAAAAGGGAGGTAACCATTAGGATAGATGATTGTACGGAGTGGAACTATTCTCTCATTACTTACCACCCAATAAATCTTAAAAGGAAACATTCTTGTCTAGTGCATTGTTTTTAGGGCTGACATTTTCAAATAAACTATTAAATACTACCATACAACTCGGTATTTTTTGGTAGGTTGTTTTGAGGGCGTTACGAGATAGGAGAACATATTTTTCCAGCCATAACTGTAACCTGATATCAGAAGTTTCCTGATAGACGCTCAAAAACTACCAGCCTTCCCCAATGCTTAAATATTTATTTCAAGAAATTAAAAGAATAAAAACCTATATCCAAGCAGGGTTTAAAATAAAATTTCGAATCCATATAATCACATATTTGAACATAATATAAATAATCTCAGGGAAGCTAGGTGAGGTAGGAGCCACAGGAAGGGTTCCTAATATATTTCCTTTCTAATAATAATAATAAATTAATTAATTAAACTAGCCAAAAAATGGGAATTGATATGCTCCAAAATACCTTGTCCTCTAATCCTTGTGCAGCAGCAAGAGCTTGAGCCCTCTGGGCTTGGACAGGGCTCAGGGTAATGCCTTGGCATTGGGCTCCATATTTTCTTGCTAGGTATCTAGAACTGCCTCCTATCCCACACCCAACATCAACAATACTCTTAGGTTTCTTTACTGGGTCATCTGCAAAACAATTCATCAAGATAAAATCAAAAGGTAGAACTTAGAAGTACATAAATTTATTTTTTTAAAAAAAACAAACCTCAATTCGCACATGTGCTGCAGAGAAACACATGCAGACACGGATACAGAGAGATCATCAAATCAAATTCAAGCATCCAACAACTAAAACAACGCTTCAGTTTTTATATCCAATCACCAATACAATATCATCATATCTTTTTCCATATGCATTCTCAGACTTGACCTAGAATCCTATACGATGGCTAGACAAGGATACAACTTGTGAATAACACAGAGCATATCAAAAGTATATCTTTGGAGTCTATTCAAATAGATTTTGAAGTTTATTATTCTTGACAATAGAAGAAATCAGATAAGATTATATAAATCACCTTCCATTTTTTTTTTTTTTTTTTGGGAAAGTAAGGTTTTATATATAACTGTGCAAATGTACAAAAGGGCCGAAGCCCCCAAACACAGCCCAAACAATATTGAGCCCAAGCCTATTCTAAGGCAAGGTTACAAGCAATCAGAAATTAACCCCTAATTGTATACAGAATCAGTGGTTAGCGCGCCAACACCATTGTGTAAGCCACCCACAGTCCGGTTTGTGGAAGAGGACAGCGACAGAGTAGATCTGAAATCCTCCCGCCGATCACTGTTAAGAGAGGAAACCAAGAAGCTGATTTACATATTTCACCTCACACAATTCCTAGCTATATTATCTACACATCATGTTAATAATAACAAATCCCTGAATCACACACAGAACAAACCCCTCTCTTTGTTAAGAAACCCCCACCCCATGTCTCTCTTTCCACAAGCAAATGGGGAAAGACTTGGTGATTTCCATATTGGTCTGTCTCAAATTTGTTTGATTTACATTTCAAATCTTTTCCAAGAAAAATTGGCCAAAATATTGCAAAATAGGTACCCCTTTTCCCTTAATATTAGGGGTGGCCACGGATTGGATCAAATTAGACATCAATCCTAATCCGATCCGCTCCCAACAGATCGGTTACCGATCCATTATCCCACGAATCGAATCGGATTAGATCCATGTAATAACGGATTGGATCGGATTGAATCCGCGGATTAAATTTTATCTAAATTATTTATTATTACTATTATTTTTATAATTTTTATAAGTAACATTATTTATTATTTATTTATCTTTTAACCCTAACCTAATACATAAAATTTTAATTTATTAATATTAATTCATATATTTAAATAATTATTAACTAATACATCTTTAGAATAAATTAAATTATCATTAACTAATATAGTTTTTCAAAATATATATATAAATTTCACGGATCTGATTGAATTGGACTCACGGATTGGATCGAATTTTTAACAGCCCAATTCGTAATCCAATCCGTGAGCTACAGATTTGATTTTTTTGAATTCGTCACTGATCCGTGAATATAGTAATCCGATCCGATCTGCACGAATCAAACCGAACCGAACCGAAATCGAATTCGCGGATTATTTGTCTCTTAATATTATTGAAAAACAGAAGGTTATCCTCAAGTTCTTTACATGCCCATCACATCACTGTAATATTGTCCAACCCACCAAAACATCAAATTTATATACTGATTACGCAAGATGGGTATAGTTCTAATTTTATACTCTTCTGAATGTTCTATACTGTTAAATTGAACAAAACAAACCAACTATTTTGAAGTATATATTACATATATATATATATATACATACATACACACACATGTATATTTAGAGAGAGAGAGAGAGAGGAGGAGAAATGAGGATGAACCAGGAACAGCGGCAAATTGGAGAGTCTCTTCAATCATACGGATCTGAGCGGAGCGGTGGTCGGAGACGGAGACGGAGACGGTGGCGTTGGGGTTGTAGAAGCCGTGGTGCATGTGGTCACCCCATATGTCCTCCCAAACCCCCGATGACTGGTCGTAGAACTCTGCTATCCCTTTCTGCAAACACTCTGTTTCCTCCTCTGTAGTCACCGGTTGAGCCGTCGCACTTTTGGTTGTCATAGCCAGCCGCCACCGTTTGGTTGGGCGCTCAACGCCACCAGCCACCACCAATCCGCGGCGGTGGCATCGTGTTGAATGAGGTCGGCCGGTGTATAGGACACGCACCAAGGCTGAGTCGCACGTGCTGCACAATGGACTCATTGGGGCGACTCCAGAGAGAGTTTGAGGCCAACCAAACCAATCGAGTGGGTCACTCACTAAACATATCTACCACTTGTACTTTTTTATATAGGAGGAAGGTGGAGACAACTCCATTGACGTGTCCTCGTACGAGACAGTGAGTGATGGATCAGGATTCAGTGCATTCCACTGTTCCTCCACTCCATGCGGTCCAAAATTTGCATGGCCCAGTTTTTGCTACGTAGCCCCTTTTAAACCAAGATTTATGCTTGCGTTTATTTCTTTAGGTGGCAATCTGACGCGGGAGGAACCTACAGTCACTCTCTGGCAGGATAATCTCCCCCAAAATCAACACGAAATCTATCCCGCCATTAATGGAAACACTTTGTTCCAAACATTTTTTTACCAAAATTTGGAATCATTTCTTATGTTTGGACTATCAGATCATCAAAACCAGAAACAAAAAACCCAAATCCACCTCCACCCCAACCAGCACTCCACAGCCATTTACGGTGGTTCTTAACCCACAACCCATAACTGCATAAAGGCAAGTAATATCTCCAAGAAATCTTCAACCGCCTCCCTCCGCCGTCTTCCTCCGCCGCTTCTCTCGTCTCCAAGCGGTGGCTCCGTCTCTGCCTCTCCTCCAAAACCTCCCTCTGTCTCCGCTTCTCCCCTCACGCTCTCACACTCGCCTCTCTCCTCCTCCCTCTCTCACTACCCTTATCTCTCTTTACTCTCTCTCACCGCTGCCGCCGGCGACGACGCCTCCGCTTTGTTCGATCACCTCCTTCTCTCCGTCGCCTCTTCTTGCCCCAATTCCAACACCTCCGCTTCCTCAGTATCTTTCTTCTCTCTACTTTCTCTCTCTGTCTCTTGCCCCAATCTCACTTCTCTCAATATATCCCTCTCCAGACCTCTTTCTTTCCACTGGATCACCTCGTTTCTCTCTCTAAAAGACCTCACTGTTTTTTTCACAGGCAATGAATTGAATTCCGATGAATTCGATTCTCAAGAAGAACATAGCCAAATTCAACTTTTCACTGCCATTGGAGTCTCTCGAATTGGCTTTGGAGGAGCTGCAAGAAGATTAAGAGGCTGCAATTACGGAGCTGTGAAGGTATTGGTGACACTTCTTTGTTTTCATTGTTCCTTAAGTGCTTGACTTGTCTTCAAGAATTGGAATTGACAATTGTATATCTCTGAATTCACTTTTGGTTTATTGGTGGTAGCAAAGAGGGCTTGCTTCAATTCATAAGTACAAGCAGGTTGTAATATGCAAAAACTTGATTTAAGATTACCTTTTGATCTTGATAACAATCACTTGCTCGCTGTGGCTTCCAAGTTTAGGGGATTGTCCTGTCTTAGGCTGCAGAGTTGTTGTCTTGTTACTGGTGAAGGACTGAAGAGTCTAGGTTGAGCTGTGAGTAATGGCCTTGAAGAATTGGCTTTGATAAACTGTGATGTGGTCGAAAAGAGAACCGGGGTTGCTGACCACATTAGGGCAGAATTGGAGGGGGTTGAGGAAATTGGACCTGTCTCATAATGAGATGCTGCTCGATAAAGAGCTGATTTCGATGTTGGTTTCGTGTACTTGTTTGGGTGAATTGAAGGCGAGAGGGTGTAAAAGGTTGACTAATGTGGCCATGGTTTCAATCTTGAAGAGTTGTAAGTTTCTGGAGAGGGTTGATGTAATGCCCTGTAGTGGGATTGAGGTGAATGCCGTTGAGTTATTTATTTTGAACTCTCCGCAATTGAGATGGATACAAGTTGAGGAAAGCAAGCTTTCAGATGTTGCAAGGATGCGGGCATCCAATAAGATAATCGTAACCTTGATGATACGGTGATGGACGAAATGAAGAATCAGCTATTCATGTAATTTATTGTTTTAATTGAAACAGGTATATATCTTGTACCTTTTTATGGGTTGATTGTAAATGTTGCGTATGTTGTGACATAAAAATGTTCACATGATGTTTGTTATTACAATAATTTGTACTGCTTAAGTTCAAAATAATTTATTTTCCTTCTCTGCTATAAGTTTTACAGAGAACATTTCTGTATCCTATTAGACCATCCGCACCCGTCTTTTCGGATTTTGGTTTTCTAACAACGCCACATCAGCTTTTTCAAGAACCATATCAACAATTACAAGAGCCACGTCAACAATTTTCGTTCTCCAAAAACATGCACTCTATCAGGCTCTCAGAATTTTCGCTCTTCAAAAAAAATAATAATAATAAATTAAAATTAATTTTTTTATTTTATTTTTTTAACTTTTCCTAACCGGCTATATTCGTAACGGCTATATTTTTAACGGTTATATTTTTCATCTTATATAATGAAACTCATTTGCTCATTTGAAAATCACCACTATATTTATCTTTCTTCATTATAGCAAAATATCATCATCCATCTTTTTCAATTTCGAAATTTGAATGGCTTTGTCATTATAAGTTTTTCCTTTGGCAGACTCTAATTCTTCATCTTCCTCGTCATCCTCTTCGGAAGATGATCCTTTTGGGGCGTTAATTCAACAGGATCAAGACGAATTCTATGAGATTATAAATTCAGTGATGCCAGAGATAGTTGAGCAAGTATTTCAAGTCGTAAAAAGAAGCGGTACATTAGCCACTATCACCTAATGAAAGACTATTTCGACGAGAATTGCACATATATATCCATCGGAGTACTTTCACAGGTGATTCAGGATGCAACGAGAACTTTTTCTACGTATCCTTAATGATGTCAAAGCTTATGATGATTACTTTGTCCAAAAAAAGGATGCGATTGGTCGTCTGGGGTTGTCTTCTATACAGAAGATGACAACTGCTGTTTGAATACTCGCATATGGTTGTGCAATCGATCACTATGACGAATATACTAAAATCGGCGAAAGCACTACCATTAAATGCTTGAAGGCATTTTGTAATGCTATTATTGTTGTTTATGCAGAGGAGTATATGCACCCACCCAACGAAGCCGACATAGCACGGTTGCTTGAAGAAAGGGAGCAGAGAGGATTTCCGGGTATGCTTGGTTTTATCGACTGTATGCACTGGGAGTGGAAGAATTGCCCAGTGGAGTGGCATGACACACATAGGGGATGATCTGGCAAGAATACTCTCATATTGGAAGCAGTTACCTCACAAGATTTGTGGATCTGGCATGCATTCTTTGGAATGCCGGGTTCACACAATGATATAAATGTGTTGGATCATTTCTCGGTATTTAACGGTATCGTCAATGGCCAATGACCTCCGATTAATTATGTAGTGAATGGACATCACTATAGAATGGGGTATTACCTGTCTGATGGTATATACCCTAAGTGGACAACTTTGATGCAGACCATCCTGCACCCAACCACTACAAAAGAAAAATTATTTGCTCAGCGACAAGAGGCATTAAGGAAAGATGTGGAATGAGCTTTTGGGGTATTGCAGATCAAGTGGGCAATAACGCAAGGACCAGTTTGATAAGTACACAAAACCTATTATTTTATGCACCAAAATAAGCTTTTAATTAGACTTTTTATTATTTAAATATTTTTATATGTTTGTTTTGTGTTTTGTAGGTATTAATGCATGAATGAGAAGAAAATAAACAAAAAATATAAAATAAATGAGGAGAGAGAAAGAAGAAAAGAAAAGAAAAAAAGAAAAACAAAAAAGAAATGATGTTCACGTGAAGAAAAGAGAAATAGGGAGAGAGAAAGAAGAAAAGAAAAAGAAGAAAAGAAAATAAGGGAAAGAAAAGTTAAGAAGAAAAGGTGAAAAGGTGGTTGATGCATAATGGGTTGATATAGAAGTGGGTAGTGGTCAGAGTAATGTATAGCTAGATGGCGTAAAGGAAATGAAGAAGCAGTTTGGGCCATCATCACAGCCTACAAGTGGGTGTCTTCCTTTGGCTATAAAAGACACACTTCGGAGGCAAATGAGGGAGGGAGTTAGAGATAGAGTTAGATAGATTTAGAGAATTATAATTTATTTATTTATGTAATTTTCTTTAAAGTTTGTTTAATTTAATGCAAATTATGTCCACAAGTTTCATTACACGCCTATCAAATGGCACCGTTGCCACTTCAAAGTTGAGTTAAAATTTTTGGACCCATTTTTATTCTATCTTTCATCTATTTTCTATTTTTATTTTGGTCATTTTATTTTTATTTTTTGTTTTCTGTTTCTGGTGTTAGTTAAAAAAAAAAAAAAAAAAATCAAAACCCAGAACAAGAAGCTTGGCTTCTCCTTGCTCGCACCGTCCGCCGTCTACCTTGCTCGCAAGCTCACTGCCTTCTGATCAGCTGAACCAAGTTCATAGCCGTGCTTACCGCCGGTCCATTCCAGCCGCCATCCACACCGCCGTAAGCTTCCAAGCTCGCCGGTGCCGAGAGCAGCCGTGAACCAGTCCTCACAAACCGCAAAGCCATCCACAGCCGGCTCTCCGTTGCCATCTCCGCCGCGAGCTCTCCACCTCCGAGCTCGCCGTGCCCATCACGGCCGAACCACAGTTCAATCACCGTTCGCCGTCAGCCACTGCCTAAGCCCGCCATCACAGCTGCCGTCCTTCCCCATCTCATCCAAGCTCGCCGCTGAGTCATCAGTGGCCAAGCAGTCCTTGTCACCACCGCCGCAGGTCCTCCATCGCCGGCTGCTTTCTAAGCTCGCTCCCGCGAGCCTCCAGCCAACATCGGTTCGTAGACCCGTGACCGGTATCCTCTTTTACAAGGGTCGCGATACCAAGTCAAGCTTGAAGAGTTGTGAATTTAGGAAAGTGGCTAAGTTTTACATTTATAGAAAGCCACTACTACATTTCTCTATATAAAATATAGATAGGGCGAGTAGGTCGAGTGATCACACAATTGATTGGTTGGTTGATTATACTAAATGAGCTAAACTATAATAAAGCAATGCAATAAGATAAAGAGTAAGTAAGAAGGAAAGGTCTTGGGGTGTAGAGATCACCACCAAACAATACTATTCCAAACCATAATCAAGTGACTAATGCGGGAAATGAATGTGTTGCAATAATGTTGTGTGTGTAAAAGACATTCAATTGGTAAGGGTGACTCAACAAGTGCAAATTGTCTCAATCAACATGTGTGAGGCCACAATACATCTATTAGTAGAGGAATATATTGTCTAAACATCATGTAAAGATAACAAAATAACAATTCAAGTCATTGAACCTTTCATTAAGCTCATAGTCCAAGCAATCCATAAGGATGATTTAGTTAAACATGCATTATCTAAATATCATGTGAGAGGTACAAAATATCTATTGGGAGAGGAATAAATTGTCTAAACACATGTGAAAGATACAACATATCATAACTAGTCATTAATCCTTCATTAAGCTCAAAATTCCATTACACCACAATATTAGAGCATATGCTTCTTACATTCAAAAGCATGGAACATCAAAGAACAAGCATGAATTGTTTCCCCAACTAACACTACACTACTTAAAAGAGAAGCACAATCCATCAAGGAATAAGTATGAACCATCTAGAGACATAACAAGAGCATTACATTAAGAACTTCATATTTTGACAATCTCAAGATTAAAGGCATTAATACACATAAACATGCATCAATAACATTAAATCTAGAGGTGAGCATTTACTCTAGCATACATAGACATATAGATAGAGAAAATGATCAATTAGAAGCATTAATCCATAGAACTTAATGAATAATCAAGATCTTCATAAGTTTAAGAGTCAAAATATGCATTACAACACAAATCCCTCAAAATTACACAAGATTAGGTAAAGAAAGCATGTTTGGGGCTAACTCTAGCCCCAAGAGGATGTCTAGCCACTCATGATGATGAAGCTCCAACCCTCAAGGGCTAAATCCATGGTGAAAATTTGCTCCTTGATGATGAAGGTCTCCTCCAAAGGTTGCTCTAGCTTCCTCCCTTCTTCCTCTCCAAGAATAGCCTCCAAGATGATTTTCAATGTGTGACAAGAGACTCCCTCAAAAAGTGTTTCATATTCCTTATATAGGTAGGTCAAATACACCCCATGATGAGCTGTGGTCGTGCAAGGCATATTCTCCAATGATTGGATGAAGGACGGAATAAATGAGCTGGACTTTAACTTTTTCTCGCTGGAGGAAGTTCGATCAATCGAACCTTAACTTGGATCGATCGAAAATGGGTTCGATCGATCGAACTGCATCTTGGATCGATCGAAGTGGTCTGACTCCTCCGGATAATGACAAGGCTGGGATATTTTCAAGATATTTATAGAGAAAAAGACAAAAGTGGTTGGTAGGCGTACAGCTGTAGATAAGATCAATCATTTGAATAGGACAAAATAGGGTTCGATCGATCGAAGGTGATGTTGGATCGATCGAACTTGGAATTTCAGCAAAGGCCAAGGTTGGATCTATCGAGAAGTACTATGATCGATCATAGATGTTCGATCGATCGAACTCTAAGTTGGATCGATCGAACTTTTCAGCTGCACAACTTGATTCCTTTTTACTCATTTCTTTCTCCACTTTGCTCCCTCCTTTGGTTTATCTTAGGATTGCTTCAATTAAGCTCTTATTTGGCTGAGTTAGCTCAATTTTGGGATTAGTGCCTGAAAATATAAATAACACGTAATAAGTCTAAAACGGCAAAGTAAGATAGATAAAGGTACTAGAATGCTTAAGCTTAACGGGTTTAAATGCGCACTTTTCAGTGCTCATCACACCCCCAAACTTAAATATTGCTAGTCCCTAGCAATGAACTAAGAAGTAAAGGAATGAAATAAACAACTATACAAGTATAAACTGGAAAGCAAGTAAAATGATAACACCATTTTCGTAGGGAACACAATTGCATTTAGCATATGCAACAAGCCTTTTAAACCCCTAGGTTACCCCTAGTGGACGAGTAAAGTCTCGTGAGGGTTTCCAGAAATGGTACCCACAAACATTAAGCTCATTCTTTCAAAAGAGGCACCAATATTGCAAACAAGCATTGGGAGAAAACTACTTCAAGTATGCAATTTTTCAACCGTTTCTAAGCAATCTCCCAAAATTTCAATATCAAGCAAGCAAGTATGGTCCTC